ATCCCGAAGATGTCCAGACCCATCCATCCTCTGGTTCCAAAGAGCATTGCAAAGCTCCCCCAATGGCAGGTGATGCATTGGCGGTTTTTGATCGAATCCTTCAAACACACCAATCCGATGAAGCAGAGATTCCCATCACTTTGCTGAAGTCATCCCAACCCAAGGGTGGCCATTCAACTCCAGCTCCAAAAACAGAATCCCCACCCAAGAAACATCCTATCAAATTGGTTCTCACACCAGAGGAAGAGGAGATTATCCTTCGCAGCGCAGCCAATGCCTCCCCTATTTGCAAAGATGGCAAGTCCCAGAACCAGAGGTTCAACGCTCAGAAGGCTAAGAATAAGAAGAAAGGAAAAGGGAAAGGGAAAAAGAGTGACAGGGAGACAGAAGAGGGAGAAGAAGAGAACAAAGACGAGACCAGAACCCAGCCAAAGAAGAGACCTTCTGCAGCAGGAGACAGCCGTGCATCGAAGAGCCAAAAGAAGGATGAGTCAGAAAGTTTGGAGCATTTGTTGAAGGAGTTGGATTTTCGCTTTGAAGCAGTGCCTGGTCCAGACAAGCTTCCTCGAAAACAGCGGCGCAACCAACACACTTCGAGGGCTTACCACCGCACTCAAGACTTCCTGGTTCGACAGGGGTATTCGAAAGAGGTTGCACAAGAAGAAGCTCGCAGGCAAAGCAGGAAAGCAGGCGCATGGTTTGATGAACGATGGCCCCTAGGAAGTGAGGTCGTGTTCAAGAAGCCGGCCATGAAGGGAAAGAAAGTGGAGCCAGAAGAGTTGGAAGAAGAAGAGCTAGAAGAGGGAGAAGAGCTAGAAGAGGGAGAAGAGCTAGAAGAGGGAGAAGAGCTAGAAGAGGGAGAGGCAGATGAGGCAGAAGAAGAGATCCCTATTCCTATGAAGAAACCCAGTGCAAAGAAGACCAAGAAGAAGACTCCTATCTCCAAAGAACATGATGACTATGAGACCCCCGCAGTGATGAAGAAGCCTTCGCAGAAGATCAAGGATCCTGAGCACACTCCTGAGGCTCAAGAGCCTTTGCGCGTCAAATCTGAGCCTGAGGACATCGATTAGTTTTTGAAGTATGACCAGGTCTGAGCCATTGAAATATTGTATTAGTTCACATATACATGGTCCAATACGTGTTGTTGCAAAGCCAGTCATTTGTTAATGTTTGTTCAATTTGATTCAGGCCACAGCCCGAAAAGGTGGATCAAGGATATCCAGCAGAGCCTGCATGGCGTTGAACTGAGACACGAACGATGCAGATGCGAAATTATGTGAACCCATAATTTGAACTGCTCCAATGCGTTTTTGAACGTGAGGAAGACCTGACCTATATTTGTTGAACTGGAGGGAAACCATGAGGGAAAACCGTGAGAGAAACAACCTTGAGGGAACTTGAGAGAGTCAAGAGTTTGTTCGAAAAACACATGGATCTTTGCTCAATTGTGTTCATGTAAATTGATCGTTTTTTACAAGGCGGTCTTGTGCTTGTGCTGAGGGTTTCCTTGAACAACACATCATTGTGCGAGAGTCATTGTGAGAGCTGAGAGTCATTGTGTTTGATCGACGTAAACAGGTTCAGAGCAGGTTTTCAGAGTTGAAGATTCAAGAACAAATCCTGCAAGCTTGTACCCAATCAAACGTTGCAAATCATGCGCATTTGCATTTTGACAAGCTCTATGTTCCTATATACGAACACGCAACCCATTGGACAGCTTCACTTTGCATTGTTCAGATGTTGCAATACATTGACATTCATTGAGTACGATACTCATCCACCTTCAAGCCATCTGCACTTCTCAAATTTGATGAGCACATTTTTGCATTTCAGAGTTCACCATTCATTTCGCTTTGCTTTGCCATAGCAATGAGCTCTGAAGTGCACAGGCTCTTTCTAAAGCACCTGGAGTTCTCCACGACTTCGAAACAGCTTGCGGATACCCTGACGAATGAGGGGCATGGAGATGGGTTGGTGCACATCCGGATTGTGCGCAAGGGAAGCCACTTTCCTGGGAAGACCTGCAACGCGTTCGTAACGTACGAGCTGGAGAGTCAGGTCCGTGATGCTGTTGCAGGACTGGCGCAGTCGACCCTCAATGGCATTTGCAAGTACCCATGTGAAGCTGACGTGGCCTATCCTCGCAACAACTCCGACACCTACTATCACCTGAAGGAGAACTCTTGGACAGGTGGACCGACGACTTCATCGAGCACTCCCGAAACCCCTCCGGTGACGCTTCAACCAAGGCCACCGAGCACTCCGCCGCCAGCAGGTCTCAGGCCAATGGCCCCACCTGAGCCACCTGGTCCTCCACCCGGTTGGCAAGCGCCTCCCGGGATGATGTTCACAGGACCTTATCCGTTTCCACCGCCACCGCCTTTGATTCCTTTCGGAGCTCCTCTCGGTCCACCTGACGGACTACTACCTGCAGTGGCTCCAGCTGCAGCCAAGGTGCCAGGTGCAACGCCAAAGGCAGATCCTCCTTGGAAGAAGACCACTGAGAAGGTGGAGAAGGTGGAGAAGGTGGAGAACAAGGACGAGGAGAGCGATGGACAGAATGTGACTTCCGACGGCTATGGCGAGGAAGATTTGCGCTATGGCGAGGAAGATTGGTGTGACGACATGCTTCAGTCATCGCTGTGGGAGGTCTTCCATGAGGATGATGGCGGCAAGGCTGAGGGAAAGCCTG